CTGTCCAACGGAAGACGTCATGAGGACCGGCCCATGACCTTTACTCGCCTCATTTGGGCCGTCATCCAATACGCGTTTCTGGCGGGCACCGCGATGCGCGCAGCGATCGTGAGTATTGCGACAGCTCCATCGCTCCCGGCGAGATCTGTCACAGGTACTAGCGGTCAGTCACCCGTCGAGGCAAGCCGCCAATCGCAATTGCCGCAAGCGGCTCATCCGGCATCGAGGCGCCCGCTGGCGTCCAAACGGCCCATCGTGAGCATGCAATTGTGGAGCTGCGCTTCCCAACTCGCTGACTTGAATTCGCGCATGCCTTGGCTTTCAGGCCTCATGTCAATGCTGCATTGGGCTGCGTTGGCCGGCCCCGGAAAGGTGGGTGACACTGATGGTGTATTGGACAGGTGAGTTGCGATAACATTTCCTCCTTTTTCTGGTTGGTCAGCAGTGTACAAGCGCCCCCATCCTGTGCCACACTGGACGACCCCGGTCTTCGGCTGCAGGAGGCCCCGCATGGAATTTCGATCACTTGACTTCGCCGCCAGCGAATGCGACGGCCCGCAGGCTCTCACACGCAGTCACCCCGTGCCGACGTGCATCGAGTCCTGCAAGCCCCATGCACCCGCTCCCGGGCGGCAACTCGAAGCGTCTGGCGCCCATACGACCCTGCGCTTGGCGCGAAGCCTGCTCCGGAGGACTCAACACTCCTACTAGCCGTTAGTTGCTCACGATAGACCGTCCATGCTAGCCCTGGTCTGCACACTGGTCTTGTGCCGTCTTATCGCGGCCCCAGCGTCTGCAGATGGCCCGCTTACGCGCCCGGTTGATCTTCCAAAGTAGCTCGTCTTTCTCGGGACTGGCCGTGCTCCTAGGCGCAACACTTGGTGGCCGTACGCCCTGCATCTACCACTCGTCAGACCGCCAGAAAGCACGCCTCATTTTTCCACCCTCAACTGCGCAACTCGATCTGCGAGTGCGATATCGCTGCTTTCATTTCGCGCCATTAGCTAGATTGGCGCAGTAACACCCCAAGATTCCGCTTCAAAGGCCCCAACAAAACGAGACCTTTTCCTGGCGCAATCTCGATCGCTGAACGGCGGGGATCTGGCACGCAATGCACTTACGCTCCTGCCGCACAACGCTTCGTTTGCCTCTACCATAGGATGACGGATCATTATACTCGCTTACTCTTTGCGGCTGGGGGTTCCCCTCTTCAGATGTCAGCGCTTGATGAAGCACAACCGCGGGGAAGGCGGTTCGTATCGTCGTCTGGAGTCCCCGGTGCTTGACGGCTTCGCCTGCCCGACGCCCCGAAACTTGCATGCCTTCGTATACTTTCCACTCTTGTGGTTGGTCTGGGAACCCGGGAAATGGCCTGAATGCACGAGTTGATTCGTCGTCTGACGGTAGCCCGCAACCATGCCCATTGATCGGGTTGTACTGCATACGTTTTGCAGTGTGGCGCACCAATCAGAGCTCCGATTTCCGCTAAATTTTCAGACGCTAACCAATTGTGTTTCGATTTTCAGGTTTCTATCTCACACCATGCAAATGCGCCTTCTGGACCCCGCCCTCTTTCCCATCCTTCTCCGCACAGCCCGCGCAACCATCTTTCCGAACAACGCTCTGGCTGGCCCACGCACTCCCCCTACAGGTGAAGAAGCGAAGCGCATCAAGCATCGGTGCGCTGCCGCAATTTTGGAGATTTTCCCTCTGAAAGTGGCCCGTGCTTTTTTCGCGAGCGACGAACGAGCATATCAACTTTCACAAATTGAAAAAATACTCGATTGTCTCGATGATGCGTATCTTAACAAGCACCTCATCTTCCAGATCGTGGAGTTGATCGTGCTAAGACTCGTGCCAGAGTTGGGAGAAAGAGGGGTACGAGAACTGATGGACGAGAGACTGGGTTGACCCTGTTTCACGACTTCCCCAGCCCCTCGTTCAGTGAGGGAGGAACCATAGTCGATCTACTCTATAGGTAGGTTTGCTCGCAACAGTGCATTGAACGGCGATGCAAACCGCTTCCAATGCTGGTCGTGACGTGAGCTCTGCCTGCCTCCTGCGCCAAAGCCCTTCACCGCCAAAACGTCCTGAGACGCAGCGCCTCTCATCAAACGGTTACGGTTGGAATCAACTGCACGCCTCCTACAAGCACATGTTCGAGCCACTCAAAAATGAGTCCCCTATTGCACGCAGATCTTCTTGGGCGCTCGTTTGAGAGTCTGCACTCGCCATTGGACAATGCGCATCCTTGCTTCCGCCTAATAATCCGCATATACATGATGACTGCGCGTACTGCGTCTATGTCTCCATTCCAACAAGTAAGGCGCACGCATTTCAAGAGGACGAGATAGCTGTAGTCTGCAGCTTGAATCTGACCTATTTGCAGACTAAGTCTGGCAGCTAACGGCCTGGAGGAAAGTATGTTAGTTTTTGGTACACCGCAAGTCACTCAACTGCCCGACTACGGCGCAGTTTGCCTACTTCCGGCGGCGGGGCGTGGCTGCTTCCGCAGTTCCGAGCGGTGAGGAGAGCATCTCCGTGCAGAAGATACTGGCGGTGTACATGCATGGTTGGTAACTTGTCGTCTATATGCGTCAGAGACTGACGAGAGGAGCTATGATACCATGCATGTCAGTTGGAAGTAGAGCGCTTGGGCGACGCTGCGGTCTGTGTGGCAGAGGAACATCACGCTTCCTGTGGAGCTGAAAGAAGGCCTGCCGTAATTCGAATCGCATCCTGTCAGCATGTCTACGATCGGAGAATGAAGGAAGGAGCTTCTGGAAGGTCGCATCGCGGGTGTCACCTTGCTGAGTCGTGAGGATGACGGCTGTGTTGGTCTTCTCATTCTCCGCACGAGCTCCTCGCGCTTCTCCGCTATATCGTGATACGAGGATGACAGGAGAGCTGCACAATATGCAGAACACCTGCATGGTATAGGGTACGTGCAATTAGACTATACACACGTAAATTTAGCGTTCCAGAGTTGCTCGCACCGTCGTCATCATCAGCAGATACCACCCACAGGTCGGTCACACATACCTCACCTCACTCAGCACCGAAGTCTTGCTCTTCTCAGTGATGACGGAACGCCCCTGCGTGGGCAAGCTTGGGTGTTTCAGACGTAAGAATAGGACTTACCGCCATATACGACGACCTGCAGAGCCCAGCTCTCGTGATGAATTTAGCAGTCAAGCGAGAGCAAAACCAGGACCTGATACCCCGCTTTCCAGGCACACGTCTTTGCGCCCATTCCCAAGCAATGGTAGCGTAGGGATTGCAGGCCCGAATGAAGCAGCTCGACGAATTCGGCGAAGAAGAAACGTCCAGGTCCACGCGAGACCAGACCGGCGTGCCTAGCGAATTGATATGGCTTTCCGAGGCTCGGAGACATACGCTTCTGATCCTTGCCTACTGAAAAAGCACCTGGACGGAGCAATTCGGGCGGAAACGCAGGCAGACCGTAACGGCCGTCTCCATTCACTACCCGCATGATGCTCATCATCCTGCGATAGGTCCATCATCACCAGAATGCGCCGATAGCCGCCCAAAGATACCCCGGCCATAATATCGGCTTCGGCTGTGAACGCGTAGATCAGAATGGGTGATCTCCCCATGCTCCACGTTTTGCTGTCGAAAGCGCGACAATCAGGGCCAAGCGGCGAGCATCAAACACGCACCAACTACACCTGATTCCGCAACAAGACCGAGCGCTATGGACGAGCTGGAATCTGGATGTCGTAAGGCTCGGCTAGTACAAGGTTTGCAAAACGGTCTCGATATTATTCTACCCCACGCGCACGCCACCATATCGACTGACTAGAATCTGGCCTCGAATCTGAGGCCCTCTGCAACCATGATTCATGGAGTGCGCAATGCTGGAGAATTCGATAGACCTGGGCACGGCCATCTGCTTCCTTTTGCGGCGTCCGTCTTCGATTTGCTTGTGGAGCCGGAGGCTCGAGCAATGTTTTGCGCATGATGCGCCACTGCCGTTCAATATCGGCATCGCCAGCATGCCGATAAACGGACGGAAATGAGGCGAGCGTTTTGCATGAATATTGGAACACACTGATCTCGGGAGCGTCAGCCCTGGCAATCATGCGGCGATGAATGAACAGCCTCCTGGTCTGCAGCCTTGATTACGGCGAGGGTGAAGTACTGGCCCTACCACATAGGATCGCAGGCGGCGTGCGCGAGAAGGAAGGCTGCGCAGTAAGACGCAGTGCGTTTTGACGCAATACGAAATTGAACGAAGGCATGATGCACACCATTATTCGATCCTGCAAGTTGTTGAATCGTCGTCCAGAGAGGATCATTGTGCGGCTAGTGCGTATCCCGCTGTCAAACGCTGGCTCGCAACATCCTCCAGACGTTCAGTCAAAGCTAAGGTGACTGCGATTCATGCTTGCAACGGCTCGAGGCGAGACTACAGGGACGCCATCGCCAACGACTGTCAGGTTCGCTAGAATCAAGGAATTCATCAAGCGATGTCACTTGAAGCGTTCATGTGCTGACTGCATTCGTTGCGGTTACGGCCCGCAACCCGTGTCTTGACTGTACTGTGCCTTAATGGCATGCAAGGACCCGCCTAGTATAGCGAACGGTCTGGTGGTCTCGAGTGACGTTTTTCGCCCCCGGAGCTACGCCGTGTGTGTGACAAGGTATTGCAAGGCGGATGCGCATGTATGTCAACGGCGCAGTTGTCATGGCACAGATGGTAACGTTCATGGTGGTAATGAGTATGCGTTACGCGCGCTAGCCCCTGATATCAGATTTTGGCAGGTCGATGAGGTACTTGGGGTCAGAAAGGCGGCCAAAAGGAAATGGCTGAGTCACATGGAAGCCTCTGTGTTAGCATGTCATGTGTGATGTTCGAGTTGGCGTTGCTGTCCACCTCGCTTACCGTTGGATGTTATCCGCACAACCACTCCAGCAACAGCCCAAAAGAGACGATGGTCAGTACGGGGGTCGAACTGATGGAATATTAGTTTTACAAGTTGTTGCAACGGTGTAGTTGAACATACCCCGCGACCTTGGCGTTAACCAGCAATTACTATTAGCACCACGCTCTAACCAACTGAGCTAACCGACTAGATCAAACTGTGATGATTCGTGGGAGCAAAGGCGAGTGTTGCAACATTCATATAGATACATTTCAGTTCGAAAGTAGGCCTTCATGAGAGATCTGTACTGTCAACATGCTGTACGACCTTCTCACCGCGCAGTGCTACGACCCAACCGTCGGTGAGCACGACGGCCCGGCGAGAAAATTTGCACCACAGGTTGCAGCAACACGGACGGTTCCACAGCATAGAGATTTGGTCACGTGCACCTACCCTTATTCCCACTTCGGCATCTATCAATAGTGCGAGGCTAAGTGACGGGCCCGAACCGATCGTCGACATAGGCCCGATTAAACAAGATACAAAGTGACACTTCGACATCTGATAGGACTCCCAGCAAGATTTCTGCTGCCCTGATGACCTTGCAATTAAAGAGAATGCAACGTAAGACATGAGAATCCGCGCAACGCGTACTCGTCTGTAGGGAACGTCTCGGGGCGCGCGTCTGCCATGCCATGCTGCGAATCAAGAAATGCAGTTGCACTGAAGGCTTGTCTCGACGACGACAAAACGGGCCTGTATCCAAAGCCCTAGCGTCCACGAGCTGAATACACTGGCGACGCAGACACAGACACAGACACAGACACAAGTCCTATCTTTACGACCCGCATGGTTTCCAAAACTGTCAAGCTGTCAACGCAACTTGTCCTGCACTCCACAAATTGGGAACCCGGGGCACCGACCAGCTCTCGGCCACCCATCTCGTCTCATCTCGGGATCCCCGCCACAACGACGCAGCGCCCCCTCCCGCCGCGCATCATCACTCTGGCACCAAAAAGCAAAAAAGGCACAGGATTTGCAGGTTTTCCTCATCCCCATCAGTCGGCAACTCTTGCCATGCCAGACGCTACCAGACCAGATCAGAGACGACGATGAAACACTCTGCCCATGCCATGCCCCCGTTTTATTCCTTCTTTTCCGCATCAGAGGCCGCGGGCCGCTATATCCATCCGCACTTGCGCGTCCCGAACCCGCTGCCTCACGCTCGCTGACTAGTAAATTCCCCGAAAGCACAGCTGGCCGTCTGCGCGCGGCCCGATGCGGCAATTTGTTTCGACGATCCATGGCTGGCCATGAAACACTTCTTTGCTTTTGCGCGCACTGTGCTGTTGTCAGGTCGCGCTCGCCAGAATAGGCCAGAGCCGCGCCCGACGCGGTAAGCACAGGGCCTGCGTCGTTACCCTTTCGGAAAGCTGGCTGCATGGGTCGAGGTGCGGACGCCTGGACGCAACGAGTGAGTGACAAGTGCCAGGAATCGGGGAGGCGGGTTGCTTGTTAGCAGCGGGTTGTGCCTCGAAGGGGGCAGCTGGCCTGGCCTGGCCTGCTCTGCGCTGCCCGGCTGGCACTGCCTGTCAGCAAGGATTTCAGGAGGACGAGGGAAAAAAGAACATGGCTGGGATAGGCCCTTGAGGGGGGAATAATCGTTAGGGACATGTCGTGGTCCGTGAGCATATCACGCAACGTAGCGCATTTTTTCTTTCCGAGATTACGGAGTACATGGTAGTGATGCGTTCGGAAAGAAGGCCTGGTGCTGCAACTTCACCTCCAACCTATCTGTGTAGATGGGAGACGTTGATATAAAGTTATGTCGAGATAGTCAAGGCTCTAGAGACTTCATATTCCCATGTACGTATGCATTATGCGTTAACAGCAAGTGTTCGCTGCGTGCATTAGTAGTATGTACTGCGCTCTGTGCTCTGTCTGTGCCAACCACTACAGCACGGGAAGAGAAGGAGGGGTCTCTGTCGTTTTGACGTGTGAGCTTTATTGAACAAGTCGATCTCCCTTTTACCCAGTCACCCGTCTTAGTGCGTTACTCAAGCAACCACAACTACGCCAGCTCTGACATCCCATCCCAGCTGGTTTCGCATACGCTTGCCTACATTCAACCGCGCCGAGTAGCGGGCATCGCACAAAGAGATAAGACTCTGGAAATGGAGGAGAGCGCAAGAACGAGGGGACACGTAAAAAGTAAATTTGCTCATCAATTGGTGCTTCAAGCTATCGGAAGCGAGGCAAGGATTGCTATATCAGGCTGAAGTAAGATCGGGGAAAGGTACGAACACAAGTCGAACACTCAACGTGTGAGTTATTCAAATATGACAAGCGCGGACTGTGAAATGTAAGACAGAGTACAATGAATAATGGCCCGCGCGAGCGGTTACAGTCTTTTTTCGGCTTTGGTTGGGTACAGAAACCAAGTCGCATGCTCCGAGGGTATAGTCAGGCCGTAACTAAGAGAAAAAGGAAGTAGTAATAGAACACGAAGAAAAGAAACGCTCTTGATCGAGGGTCAAAGAAAGAAATGATGGACCATGCTAAAGATGCTGATGCTGAAAGTGCTCCGCGTCCCAATGCGATAATGGTCGGGTGTGGAGCTCCAAATCGCCTTCGTCACTGCGTGAAAGCATACGCTATGCTCGGTGGGTTCCCAGGCTTCTCCAACCTCCGTATCATCGTGATCCAGTCCTACGAGTCCAATTTTACTCCGTATCCGTGAAACAATCGAGCCAAATGTCCTGTCGCCATCCAACAACCGCGCTAGAAAACCAATGTGTACCGCCCTGGCCAGTCATGACCCTAGTGAATCGCATCCACGCTTTCAAGCTTGCCGGTCATGTGAAAGTCGGGTTCAGAAACACGGCGCATCCCAGAATGCAGGCCTTCAGAGCCTCGCTTGATCTTCAGTTTCTCCATGAGCTTGCCGATCATGACATACTCTTGGGGTTCCACGAAGCCATGTGGCTGTTGCTGAAAGAAGCTCATAACGATCTCCAGAGCACGAGCAGCTTCTTCCTGAGACGGAGTGACGGGAGATGAATCTACACCGGAGTGGGACATGTCTGATGGGTGGTTTAGTATGCTGACAGTCGGGAGAGGAGGTGGTTGCATTGACGCGGTGACCTGTGGCGGTGAAGTGTGCATGGCTTCTTCGATTGTGCCCATCGATGGAGGAACTTCGGTCATTGGCGAATCCAGAGCGGTGGAGTGCAAGTACTTGGGAGTCAGTGCCTCAGACGAAGCCGGTGGTGACATGTATTGCTCGACGCCGATAAGCATTGGAAATGTCTGGCTACGCGGTCGTTGGAAGTTACTGCTACCAGGCTGGCCTCTGCTCATGAAGGGACTGGGCCCACAAGCGGAATCTGGCGTGAAGAAAGGAGAGGACAATGATGTCGGACTTGTTGGTCCCGCCGAGAAGGACGAAGGCGCCGTGTCCGTAAATACACTCGAGAGTGAAGTGTTGCTCTGCGAGTGGAACGGCCTTCTATGATTCGAAAAGTCGTATGTGTCTGGGCTCTCGGTTTTCAGGTTCTCCTCACTCTTCTTAGCTGTTATGGCGATGGGTGAGGGGGATACCCCGCTCGGCGATGTTGGCGAGATACCTCCGGGAGTGTGTACGTTGGACGGCGGGTTGGAAGTGCCCTCGGACTCTTCTGCTATGGAGCTCTTTCTTGATTTCGCTCCCATGAGGTTGTTCTTCTGCTTAAACTTCTCGAGCCAACTAGTGCTGCTCGCCTTCACATGGCTGTCGGTGGTTCCTACAGTACTCGCAAAGAACTTGGCCTTCTCACGGATGATGTTGTCATTCAGCGGCAGGCCTTGCCTTTGGTGATTCCTCGCCCAGTTTGCCAACGCCCTCTCGATATCCGGGAACTTGCCTTTGGACCTTTTGATGGGCGATCGGCTACCGTCGTCCTGATAGAGATATTTTTCCTTCTGGCGCAACACTTTGGAGACAGTACTACACGAGTAATCAATACACTGTCAATTCAATGCCAGATCAATGGAAGTACCTTCTCTCCACACCAAACATGGCTGAATCGCAGTTAGCATAAGGCCCAAACGTGGTCAGTGGTCTGTTCACATACCCCCAATCTCGGTCTGCTTGACGGTGGGATGCTCCTCATGGTAGAGGCACATTCGTCTTCGATCCTGGTCTGTCAAAGTCTTGCGCGGCGTGGACGACGTGCGAGAATGCGTCGAAGTTGCTGACACTGGTGTTGCCGATGCTGGCGTAATCGGCACCGGTGCTGAAGGAAATATGGGCGGAACATAGGTTGACTGGCTCGTCAACATACTGGGCCATTGGGGCATGATCAAGGGCTGAAGCTGGGGAACAGTCGTCCTCGGCGGATGCATGCCTTGAGGATAGAGCGGCTCCATGGGTAGCGGGGTATAGTTGGTGCTGTACGGCAAGCCATGGTAGTCTTGAACCGGCGACTGATGCTGCGAGTGGTTGTAGGCACCGCCGTCATGTTGCCAATTGGCATTGTGGTCGTCATAGGACTGCTCCTGGTGGTGGTGGTGAAGATGCTGCTGGTCGTGGTCCATTTGCAGCCCGCTCATATCGAACTACGGTGGAACGAGAGTGCTGGTGCACTGGCGCAGCTGGGAGCGTGTTCGTGTTAGATCTGCTGCGATGCGGGTTTCCTGAGGTGTTCCTGATGCTGGGGGGAGTGACCTCAGAGCCGGGCAGGCGCATGCATGCATGAAGATGGTCGATGGTTCCTGAAGCGAGGCGACAACGACTTGGAAACACTCAGGCTCAGCTGACAGGAAAGCAATGCGGTGGGACCCGGGGGACAAATGAGATGAAACGAAACGCAGCAGCGCGGCGCGGCTTGCGCAGTTTGGACAAGCTGGAGCAGGAGGTGGGAGCAGGCGCTGGAGGGGCTGCAGGGCGAGGATGGCTGCTGCAGCGTGCTGCACAAGGTACTTGAGGCAGGGCCGGGGAGGTCTGGTACAGCGGCCCTTGTGCGCGCTGCGGGCTGCGGCCTGTTGCAGAAGCGGGAGTGTGTGCGGGAGGAGGGGCCATGGCCTGTTTGTTTCGAGCCCAAGGACGGCCATGGGTAGTCGGCGTGTGAGAGCGGCGGCCCTGGCCTGTGCAGCCCTGGAGCATCCAAGCATCCACAGTCCACGCTTGTGCAAGACCCCAGCCGGTGTAGCCAAGCGACACCGCGCGCAC